GGATCGCTGGAGCCCAGCAGGTTGAGGCTGCGGTGGCCGGGAGCTGCCACTGCACTCTAGTCTGGGCGACAGAGTGAGACTCCAACTCAAAAAAAAAAAACAAAAAAACAAACACAGTAATTTTGAATATCAAAATTTTCTTATAGTTTTACTCCAAAAAGAAACCTTTGCACTCTCAGAAATGCACTTTATAAAAATAATCACAGAAGCCAGGCTCGGTGGCTCAGCCTGTAATCCCGTGCCTTAGGAGGCTGAAGTGAGTGGATTGCCTGAGCCCTGGGGTTCGAGTCCCGCCTGGGCAACTTGGCGAGACCTCATCTCTACAATAAATCAAAAATTAGCTGGGTGTGGTAGTGCATGCCTGTAGTTCCAGCTATTTGGAAGGCTGAGAAGGAAGGATCGCAGGAGCCCAGCAGGTCAAGCCTGCAGTGGCCTGGAGAGGCCACTGTACTCCAGTCTGGGTGACAGAGTGAGAGTCCAACTCACTCAAATAAATACATGAATGAATGAATAAATGAATAAATAAATAAATAAATAAATAAATAAATAAATAAAATAATCACAGGCCGAGCCCAGTGGCTCACGCCTCTAATCCCAGCACTTTGGGAGGTCAAGGCAGAAGGATTGCTTGAGCCCAGGAGTTCAAGACCAGCCTAGGCAACACAGCAAGACCTCATCTCTACAAAAATAAAAATAATACTAGCCAGGCATGGTCGCATGCGCCTGTAGTCCCAGCTACCTGGGAGGATGAGGCAGAAGGATCACCTAGGCCTCAAGAGGCTGAGGTTTGGTGGACCATGACCGTACCACTGTACTCCAGTCTGGGTGACAGAGTAAGACCTCAACTCAAAATCATCATCATCATAGCAACTGAGGACTAAGGAATTCATGTAATTTAGCCAGTTAGCAAAAAAAAAAAAGACAGCTAAGGTTTAGTTGGGACTGTTCAGCAAATCTCTATAGATTTTACATATATATATAAATTTTTGTTTTCCCACAAGCCAGGGAAAGTATTTACATGAATGTCCTCTGGTTTGAATTAAAACCAACCAAAAGAAAAACTTACACATATTCATTTTATCTTACTTGATTTAATAACGTAAATGTCAATTTACATAGAAAATGAAGAAGAAATAAATTCATTTTTAACAATCAAAATAATGTTCCTCAAGCTGAAGTTATAATCTCAAAATATTTTTTAAGAATTTTTAAAATTAAAAAATTAAGAATTTAAAAAAATCATTTAAAATAATATAATTCATATAGTTTACCTTCTGGCTTTCAAAGTTTTGAACAATTCCATCCCATTTACTTTCCTTCTTCTCTATACTTGACCAAAAGAACATACTGAAAATAACACTGCCACCTGCTCCTTCACAAAGAATAGTCTCCCTTCAAATGATCTCTCTTAAAATTTAAATTGTTTAAAACGTAATTTTAAACTGGGCTCGGTGGCTCAGCCTGTAATCCCGCGCCTTTGGGAGGCTGAGGTGAGTGGATTGCCTAAGCCCGCGGGTTCGAGACCCGCCTGGGCAGGCGAGACCTCATCTCTACAATAAATCAAAAAATTAGCCAGGCGTGGTAGCGCACGCCTGTAATTCCGGCTACTTGGAAGGCTGAGGCGGAAGGATCGCCGGAGCCCAGCAGGTCGAGGCTGCGGTGGCCAGGAGTGGCCACTGCACTCCAGTCTGTGTGACAGAGTGAGACTCCAACTCAAAAATTAAATAAATAAAATATAAAACTTGACATTTAAATCTAAGAAAAGAAACTTTCTTAGCTTTTCTCCTTTTTGTATGTTCACAAACAGAAAGGTGAGGATACTTTTAAATGGTCAGTGTATATACTATATATAATCTTTCATAGTCATCCAAAGAATGTTACTTATGTTTACTCAGCATTATGAGCACAATAAATATGAGAAACTATAAAATTATCCTTACCAAAATCCGCTATCTTTGCATTCATGTGTGCATCAAGCAGGACATTTTCAGGTTTCAAATCTCTATGGACCACCATATGCCTGTGACAATAATCCACACCAGAAAGGATTTGTTGGAACAGACGTCGACTTTCTTTTTCATCCAGCTAAGAAAAGTAGAGAGGCATCTTAAAGGTGTGTCTTTCAAAATAAATTATCCTACCTATAATTCTTGAACCTATAAAACTGTCAAAATGCATGAAACCTTCCAACTGAACTTCTCTCGTGAGATACTTTTGACATGGGGGGAAATACGTGCAGCACAAAACAAACAAGGCTAAGAGGATCCTGGAACCCAAATCAGTAACTCAACTTTCTAATATTATCATTTGCATATGACTACATTGTAATAGTTTGCCTTTCTCTATATTTCATAAGTTATTTCAAATCGTTTCAACATCTACTTGACACTTGGCATACTTTCTCCTATATATTGGAAATGCTTCATCTTTCATTCCTTTAACAAGTGTTTACTGAATATTTTCAATGTGCTATACACTGTTTTAAACATTCATTACATAGCAGTGAATAAAACAAAGGCCCTCATCTGGTTGGCTAAAATAGACAAATAAATATAACATTAAGGAGTGACAGTGCTTTGAAGAAAAATAAAGCAAAATATGAATACAGAGAGTAATGCTGGGGTGAGGGATACTATTTTACACTATGGGGATGTAACATTTAAGCACTGTTCATGAACTAGCAAGCAATCATATTATTATGTGTCCTGAAATAAAAGGTGTTTTAATTTTAACAAGAAAAAACTTATTACATTTAATAAAATATAAAACAATGTATCTTTAGTGTGCATAATGAAAAGAAATTATAGCTTATGCTGCAACTACATTTTTAAAAATATTCCTTAAAAACTTTCCTATGTATCCATATTCTTATTTTATGATAATTTTTAAAGTGATAACCATTACTTAAACATGCCTGCTCCCCAGAAATCATATTTAATAAATAAGCTATTAATCTTATAGTCAAAGGATTCTAATATGTAACTCTCTAACACAGATTATGAATTAGCATTCTAAAACCAGACTTTCACAACTTAAATCTGGAAGAAAACACAAACTAGTCATTTCTTCTGAAAGTAAAATTAAAGGTACTAGTAGGTATCTTTCCTTTAGAAAAAATACTAATCCTTTAGCAATCTAATACTTTTACTTCTAGAAGAAATGTAGGAAGGTCCATGGCAGGGAAAAAAACTGTTAAAATTTGAAAGAGTAGGAGAAAATTTAATTGGATTAAATAAAACATAAGAGGTAAAATAACCAGATAGGTTACAAAAATGAAAATCATACTATACTCATAACAAATACAAGGGGTGAAGAAGGGATGCCTATAAAGCAAGATTAGAAAAGTCAAAGTATATTTCCAATTAAATATGACATTAAATCTTTGTCTCCAATTCTTGAAACATCACAAAAATGACATAAACAATAAAAGAGACATATAAAGACAAAAAAAGCAAGAGACGACATAACAGTAATCAAGAAGAATCACTAATCCAGACAATGGATAAACAGTGATAAAGACTAAATGAACAAAAGAAAGCTGAAACCTAAGCATACAGGCATGGAAACCAATAAGAAATAAACTCATCTGCACAACAAACCCTGGAAAGGCTTCAAAATTGAAAACATAGGGAACTGCTGAAGGTAGAAGTAAGAAGAGGGCTGAAAACAGGATAACTGGTTGAAGTCAGAACCTTTTAAACTCACCCCTACTGTGGAATGAGACCCATGATTTACTCTACTCTAGCAAAGGCTGAACCAGCTCTGTTCTCAAAGCCACCCAGGCAGAGCAAAGTGAGGAAAACATGTGGAATAAGTGAAAGTCAACATACTAACTAATGAGACTTGTAGCCCTTTTTCCTACTCAGCACCTAAAGCACTGACAGATAAGCTAATGGGGAAAGTTTCTCCCGGAACAAATATTTGACCTAAGAAAACATTTGTTATTTTGACATTTGGTATATCTCATAAAACAGGAAATTCTTACCTATTCAACCTTTGGGAAATCCCACCAATCAGTAAGTTCCACCCACATGAGCTTGGCATTTAGTACCTTACTCTTATGTACTAAGTGGACAACCAAGAATCACCAGATATCTGAGGAACGGCCATGCACGAAAGATAAAGATGAATAAAATTAACAGAAAAAAAAAAAAAAATGGGAAGCAAAGAGCACAGAAGGTACAGAAACAATAAGGAGAAGAAGAAAACTTTTTTAAAAACTGTCATCCTCAGACAAACTGGATTATTCTATCTGTGGAGCAAAAAATAGCGGACTATTTAAAGAAAATAAAATTTCAGAAAACAAGAAAGATCTATGAAATAAAAAATATGGTAGCTGATATTTTAATATTTAACAGGTAAAAGAAATATCCATGAGGTAAAACAAAATGACCAAGAAATGAAAAACAAAAGAGAAAAGAGAGGGAAAAAAAGATGTAAATTCAATTTGGGCCTGATTCTATTTTTCCAGGCAGAACTTTTTTTAGGGGGATGAGGAGAAACGGAAGTAGAGAAGGGAGACACCTAAAAGAGAAATGTTAAGAAATAGTAAAATCAAAATTAACTTGGTTAATAAGTTTGATTTTAATGAAATTAAACAAATATGCTATACAGAACAAATGAATGAATTAATGATGTAAATAACTTAAGATTGAGGTAAGAAACAAATGTACTCTCACTGCTATAGATACAGCTCTGCCAGAAAAGGGCTTCTGCATACCGTACAACTTGGGTATGAGAAAAAGTATAAGCAGGGGGCAGTGTTCAGTTTTTGCATCTCTAACTTAAGGTATTGTTCGAAATGTCTTCTAAAGTTCCTTCCAGTTCTAAATTCTTTACATCTAATTCCTACCTCCTTCATGGAGCCTGTTCTTACTACTCCAGGTACATCAGATTTCTGAAACCAAAAAATGAATGCAATTTAAATGTGGCTAGGGTGGACTAGCAAGGCCTAGATTGTTAAGTAAGAATATATTTTGTTAGGATTAATGATATACTTTAAGATACATATTAAAAGTATTTGTGTACCACATCTGTATAAGCAGGCTAAAGAGATCATCTTTAAGATTGTTTCTAGCTCTAAGTAGTGTATGATTCTAAATAAGTATATGACTAAGGGAACTGATTATTAAATAGACCTCTCAAAATTGCTTTCTGACATTTTGATGCTAGAAAGGGATGAGGGGAGTTGTGAAATATATACAGGATTAAATCAGAACAGCTTACCCTTCCATTTTTACAGATATAATCAAATAGCTCTCCTCCTGAGACATATTCCATCACCATGAAAATATCAGATGGTGTACTGATGACCTGGTACCTGGTGAGAGAAAACATTGTCTACCAATATTAAAACATGTATATTCATTCATTCGATAAATACTAAGCACCTATAATATACCAGGTACTGTGCTAGGAGCTGGGAAAACTGCAGGAACAAAAATTCTCTGCTCTTGTGGAATTCATGTTCCAGGAGCTAGGAAACAAACCCTGAATAAATAAACAATATCTCAGGTGGTGGAACATGCTATGAAGACAAATAAAACAAAGGGGAATCTTTTCCTGAAGAGTACTCAAGAGAGACCTCTGATAAAGTCACATTTGAGCAGAGCCTAAAGGAAGAATGGGAGAAAATTATGCCAATATCTAGGAGGAAGGTGAACCAGGCAGAGGACACAGCAAGCGCAAAGGTCCCAGGCAGAAGTCTGCTTGGCATGTTCAAGGAGTGGTAAGAAGGCTAGAGCAGAATAAGCTAGGAGAGAGAAACAGGATGTGGAGCCAAAGGTTTATCTGCAGGCCAGAGGACGCAGAACTTGACAAGCCATGATGAAGCTTCGGCTTTTACTCCAAGGAAGATAAAAACCTACTGAAGGTCTTAAGTAGTCATGTGATCTGGCATACGAAAAGGAGAACTGGCAGCAATGTGAAGAACTGACTGTGGACAGTAAAGGTGGAAGCAGGAGGTTACTGTAGGAGTTCATGAGAGCGATGAAAGTGGTTGCAACTCAACTGATGGTGACAGAGGAAATGACAAACAGTCATATCCTAGACAGATATTGAAGGAAGAAATGAATGGATGGCAGAAAGTGAGAAAAATAAGGATGTCCAGGATGGTTCCTATGTTTTTGCCCTGGGTAAGCAGCTATTAGTTGAAATCGTGAAAACTGTGGAAAGAGCAGGTTTGAGAGAGTAATAGAGTTCAATTTGGACCATGTTGAGTTTGAAATGCCTTGTGGACATCCAAAACGAGATGTGAAGTCATTAGTGGGCACGAGTCTAAAGTTCATAAAAGAGATTTCAAAGAAAGAGGTGTACATTTAGGGGTCACCAGCATACGGATGGCATTTAAAACCATGGCACCTCAACAAGTGAGAAGAGAGTAAAACAAATTTGAGTTAGCCAGTTCATGAGACAAGCCTAAGCAGTTTTAACTTATAGCCTACATAACAAAGCAGGAGCTAAGCAGAAATAGGTTACCTGTAGATCCTACAACTGGCAACTGTAAAACAACAGAAATATTACTGCTGCCCTTCTGAAACTAAATCAGAGTCCTGAAATTTTGTTATTTGTATGACCAGATATAAAAGCATGGGGGAAAACTCTCCTTTACTGCCTTGTCTATAGTGAGGCTAGCTGACATCATGAGGAAATTTGCATGTCAAAAGTTTTTACTAGCAGATTTTTTATTTTATTTTATTTTAAAGATGGGGGTACAATTCAGCGTTAGGTACACGAATGGTCATACTAGCAAATTATTGCTAGTTGTACAGCAATGGGGCACTGAACCTCACCTATCAGAAGAGCATCTGTCTAGCAGACAGGAAAAAATGAGAAAGTAACAGCTGATAAGCACAAGGGCAAAACATGAACACAGGCTTAACTGACCATGAATGGGTTAGATAAACACATGAATAGGTAAAAACTTTTCAAAACCCTCAGCAAAAAGTGTCAGTCATCTTTCTCACTTGTCAGAGTAAGTAGGTTAACAAAAATGATGCAAAGATGATTGGACCATATTCAATATAAATAGAGCTTACAGTTTAATTATGTGAGGATGCCTGAAAAGCTTGAGGTTCTGAATTTCTCTGCGGATTTTTCCTACCACATCAAGGCTTCGAATCTTCTGTCGATTAAGTATCTTCACAGCAACTTTATGCCCAGTCAATTCATGTTTGCCAACTGTAGGAGAAATAATGTTAATCAATTAATACCAAGCTTGATTAGTAATATATTTAAATGTATTCTAAGAGTAGTCATTTAGCATTCTCAGAAAAATCTTTGAGCAAATTTAAGTTCCTCTTTCTTCTGAGTCTGATTTACCCTCAAATGTTCAGATGTTTAAGACTGATTAAGTAGGAGCATATATAAGAACCTGGCACTAGTGGTTTCTTCCAGAAAGGAAAGCTGGAAGACTTACAAAAGAGTGAAAGAAAAGAGAATTCCTTTATGCTGTATATCATTTTGTACCTTTAAATTTTTTTATTGATTTGTCTCTTTTTAAGCTATCATACATATAAATTGACTTTTTTTTAGTATACAGTTCTATGGATTTTAACATCTGTAAAAATTGGTATAACTTCAATTATATTATCAGATACAGAACAATTCCATGATCCCAAAAGACGACCTCATGCCATAAATACATTTCTCCTCTCCATAACCCCTTGTACCTTTTAAATTTTGGTCATTGACATATGGTTTCTACTGTGTAAAATGACATTAAAAATAAGAAAAAAGGCCGGGCTCGGTGGCTCAGCCTGTAATCCCACGCCTTGGGAGGCCGAGGTGAGTGAATTGCCTGAGCCCGTGGGTTCGAGACCCACCTGGGCAACTTGGTGAGACCACATCTTTACAACAAATAAAAAA